CTCCTTCTTCCTCTCTTTTCTTCCCTCTTGCATCTTAAACTTCTCCTTTATCCCCCTTTTCCTCTTTCTTACATCTTAAAATTCCTCCCTTTTTCCCCCTCTTACGTTTTCTTTTTCTTTTTCCCCCCTCTTACATCTCCTTCTTAAATTTCTTCCCTTTCCTCCTTGTTACATCTTACTCCTTCTTCTCTTTTCCTCCCTGTTACATCTTACTCCTTCTTCCTCTCTTTTCCTCCCTGTTACATCTTACTCCTTCTTCCTCTCTTTTCCTCCCTGTTACATCTTACTCCTTCGTCCTCCCTTTTCCTCCCTCTTACATCTTAAACTTCTCCTTCTTCCTCCTTTTTCCTCCCTCTTACATCTTAAACCTCTCCTTCTTCCTCCCTTTTCCTCCCTCTTACATCTTAAACTTCTTCCTTTTTTCCTCCCACTTAAAATTCTTCCCCTTTCCTCTCTGTTACATCTTAAACTTCTCCTTCTTCCTCCCTTATCCTCCCTCTTACATTTTCTTTTTTTCCTCCATCTTAAAACTTCTCCTTCTTCCTTTTTTTCCTCCCTCTTACATCTTAAAATTCTTCCCTTTTCCTCCCTCTTACATCTTAAAATTCTTCCCTTTTCCTCCTTCTTACATCTTAAATTTCCTCCCAATTCTTCCCTCTTACATTTTAAACTTCCACCCCCTTTAAATATATAATTCCAAACATAAAATACATTTATATTAATTTATAATTTACATTTTAAAATGATTTAATTACTCTAAGTCGATTTCAATTAAAATTCATTAAAATTAATTATTTAAATACTTGAAAAATTATTTACTCTCCTCCATATAAACGTAATTAATTCTTATTTATAATTTAAAATTTAATTTATTCCTGACTACAAATTAATTGATATTTCACGCCATTTTATATACAATTATAATTGTAATTAAATATACAATTACAATCAAGTAAATTAGAATAAATTGTATAAAAATTTCAAGCGAAATTTATATATATATATATTTTTTAAATTTAAAATAATTTGATAATTAAAGACAAATCTAAAATTCGGTTCATTTATTTTTATTTATTAAAATATTCAAACATAAGAATGTGTAACTAAAAAAACAAAAAACTTTCTTTTAATACAAACTACATTTTGCACATGTGTTTTGAACATTTTTTAAAAATAAATGTTATTTAGTATACTAAAATTATAACTCAAATTAACGAAACCAGCAATCTGTTTGGCTTTATAACAAAGTTTTTTTTTTTTTTCTTTTATTGATTAGTTATTTGTCCACTTCCTGATCCAACTGCTTCCTTTCTGTGCAGAGAATGTCTGAGGAATTTAGCGAGAGAGGCTGGATGAGATCTCCCGCGTTGTCTCCGGATAGAGCGGAGTCTGTCGATTCTCCCGGATCCCCAAACTGAAAATACGCGTACGACAGTTTAGGTTAATATCAAATATTCGTGGTCGTTAAAGTATTACCATCAATTTTTTACCTGATTCAGTCCAAACAACGAACCGGGCTGTACTACATCTAGACCAAGTGATGCAATGTCATCCATTGATTGAAAGTGTTCTGGTTCTAGTGAAAGTACATCTGTTTCCATGGGAGAAATTTCTGGATTTTCTGGAGGATTGTTCTAATAGAATAAAATTAAATATTTTATGACTTAAAATTTTCAAATATATAGTTAATTTCATTTGTTTTAAATAAATCAAATTTTTCAATTTACCATATTATGACTCTTTCCAATTGGAAGGGATGTTAGATGAGCATGATATAGGCATGTGACTTGATCATTGTATGGAATAATTGGCTTATTACAGTCACCTTCTTTACCATGACAAGATTTAAATAATACTTGATGTGGATCAGACAATATATCTGTTAATCAGTTAAGTGATTATAAGCTAAACAAGCTTTATCTTAATATAATAGTTTACTTCATAGAATAAATCCAACTTTATATTGAATTTTAAAGTAACGGGATTTTTGTTTTTAACAATATATAATATACATAAACTTTATTTACAGTTAATATATCAAGACATATTTATTTGTCAAAACTTCCAATTTAATCATTTTACAATTATGTAACTAAAGACATTTCTTCAACAAATATTTCTCAAAATATTTTAATTACAATTTGAAATTTTCTATATTGAGAGAGAATGATTCTAAGTTATTTGCATTACATAATCAAGATTTCAAATAAACGTTATAATTAAGAAATTTAAATAATAATTACTATTATTATTATTATGCAATACAAGTAACTTAAAATCATTATATTTCAATACAGAAAATTTCAAATCATGATGATAATAATTACAATAATTATTAAGAAATAAAACTGAGAAGGATTTTAATCTATAAATACACATTTATGAAAATTTAGAGAAAAAATTAATTCTTAAAATAAATCCAACAACCAATTAAAGTAGCAGAATATCCCAGTTCAAATAGAATCTGAAATTAATGAATTTTTATCTTTTTATTTAGACCATGTAAAATACCACATTATAGCTATTGTATTTAATTTCATAAATCATTGACATTAAAACCACTTTGTTCTAACTCCATTTTCATAAGTTTTGAGAAAGTGATTCTTTCTGAGAATGATTTTTAAAAACTGTTCTATTTTGTGTAATACCAATTTCTCCATTTAATAAGTCATCCTTTATTGCATTTTCATATCATAATGCAATTTTTTTTCCATATCTTTATACAAAATTTTAATATATATAAATATAAATTATGAAATAATATTGTATCTTCCAAATTCTACTTTTCACAAATAATTTCAAACTTTATATCTAAATTCTATGGAATAAACAGAAACATGCATTAGAATTTTACTGATTGATCTGAATTTATTAGCACAATAATAACTAAATATATGAATACGTGTGTACTGTACAGTACATGATTTATAATAAATCTTGAATCAATTAATTATAATTATTTTGTTTATTGCAGTTAATGTAATGAAATAAAATCTGAATGTACTGATGGTTATCACCGCTCCAAGCTTGACCCAGCATCTATGGCTTTTTGAAGGTTTGACTCCAGGCTTTGTTATTATTTCTCTGGATTTGTGAACTGTATTGCATAATCAAAAACTTCATTAAGAAACTTCAGACTATGAGGCATTAAATAAAATTAGAAGAAATATTTTAGTCTGAAGTTTCTTAATGAAGTTTTTGATTAAGTTAACTGTTGGCGTGACATCTGAACCGAGTATTTAATACACCTAACAACAAGATGTATTACATAATTTAAAAATATTATTTTAGTTTTTTATATTAGGAACATACTTGGTACTTACTTTATATATTAATTTATCTGTATCTAAATATAATATCCAGTTATTATTAAAAAGATTTCCTGATTAAACTTAAATTGTAATGTACAGTACAATATAATTACATTTGCAAACAAGTCTCTGAGTTTATTTATAAATTTTGATTGTCAATTGTTTTTATAATAAAAAAATAAAAGTATTAACATTATCTACTGCAGTCATCAAGATTGCGTAATGTTTTTTTGTCATTATGTATAAAATATTTACATTTGTCAAATACTTCCTTACAAATGAAATACAAATACATGGTATCATCATACTGTATATAATCAGGATAGCCAAACTGCAGCTTCTTTAGTTAAACAATTTATTTTTATAAACTTGTGCATACTGTATAACTTACACATATATAATATTGTTGTAAGTTTGTTGACTGTTATGCAGCATGATATACATACACACAGATTGTAAGAGTAACTCACAATTTAAACAGGCAACCGAAAGCCAAGGAATATATTTGCACAAATTATATTTTAAATAGTTAATGCTCCAACTACAGTCAAATCTCATCAGTATGTAATGAAGGAGAAACATTGATATGTATTCAGATAAAAAGTAAATTAATTTTTAATTAACTTATTCTTTCAACTTTTTTTTTAGATAGCCTTTCTTATATACTACCCAAACATACATATCCTTAACCTAACATAATAATGATATTTACTGTAGAACAGTGATAACTAGTATTTTAACTACAGAGGAAGAGCACCAAAGTCGGACCCCCAATTCATTTCACAACTACAATATTAACAACATTCAAGCTAACATTTTTTTTGTTTAATGCCAACATTCTTTGATTAGTTTTTCAAGAACTCTCTTTGTTAGAAGCAATTATAAAATTTCTATAAAGAGCATTTTTGAATTTAGCAAACCATGTCAAAAATGATAGTTTGGAAACTGTGCTCCAAATTTGGACCCCCCAAATATAAATGACATTTGATGAAAAAAGAAAAGAAAATAGGACAAATTATAGCATGATTTGATTTATGTAAACATATTTCTGCAAGCAGAAATTAAATTTATTTGCAAAAATCACAAATATTATCTGTTTCTGCTTCTGAACATTCTACATGAATCAATGCACTATACACAACTCACCACAGTTCATCATGACAATCTGATGACCACTTTCTGCCACAAAACATACAAACAGCACCATTTTCAGTGTGATAACTTCATTAAAGTAGGTTTTAGGACCCAAAATATTTTTACATTTTCCATTCCATCTCTCTCATAGATTCTGTGACTTTGGCCATGAATTCTGAGATTGTGTTAGTTTCATTGTTTTCCATCATATGTCATTGCTTTCAATCTAAACAAGAGACACAATTGTTTGAACTCAAAATAATGTTAAAAAAAGTGAGGATTCTACTTTGAAATGCATGGAGTCTGACTTAGGAAAAGAGAATATTTTGGAACAATGTGGCATCATTAACTATTGTATGTTAGAAATGATTAACAAAGCACATAATCCATTAATTTTATTCTACTATTGCTTGTTAGTAATGAGAAATGAATTTTTACCTGTTTAAAAGTGAAGTGATGATGCAATAAAATCATGTTTCAACAATTTCATGGAATTTCAGAAATATAAAATTACCTTCTTTGTATGACAAAATTAGGCCAATTACATCAGAAAAGTATAAGGATATAATGGATTTATCCCTTTATAAACCTCCTGTTCATCATGAACACATTAAGATAAATCATGTAAAACTCAAAATTATTAACAAAAACATTTAACTTTAATGTTTTACTCTTATTTTTCATCAAAATAAATTTTGATGAAAAATAAATAAATTTAATAAAATTTCCTTAATTTTTGTATCAGATTATTTTGCTAAAGGAATCATATTTTATTATTATTATTTATTTAAAATGTATCCTACACTGCATATATTCTAATGCCTAATGTTACGCAGACAAAAGTCAAGGAATAACTACAGAAAATAAATGTTTTGTTTATGTTCTGTTGTGTACGTATCTATGTTTAAGAATTTCCTGACCGATGTCTTTAGAATGGCAGCCTTTTGTAGTTATGTAAGGTGTGTTTCAAATTTATACAGACACGAAAAAATTGAAGTGAAACTTAAATTTGCTGCATTAAGTGACAAATGTTTTATTAAAAATAACATGGATTTACTTGTTTCCACACTGCAAAATAAGAATTTTAATCAAACATTAACATTTTGTCACTGAAAATAATATTTTTGAAAATTTTGTACAAAAAAACTGTTACATATTTATCTGGGCAGGTTTCAAATTGCAAAGTTTTCTTACAATTTAATGGCCAATGTAACCATCATTTAACTTAATTACATTAAATACTCGATTAGGCATTGTTTCAGTTAGATTCTGAAGGAATTCAATCTTAAGTTTATTCCAAGTATCTGAAATTGCTGTGTTCAAATCATGAATTGTGGGAAAACTGCTTTCCATTGGCATAAACTGTACGAACCATCATCCTCCAAAGATTTTCCATCGGATTCAGGTCAGGGCTTCTAGCAGGCCATGTCATCAGATTAATATTTTTACATTTAAACCACATTTTTGTTGATTTAAAGGCATGCATAGGGGCATTGTCTTGTTGAAAGATCCAATTTGGTCCCCAAATATTTGGTCCAGCTTCCAATAAATGATCTTCAAGCATGCCTTGATACTTCTCTGAATTCATTCTTTGAGTTATAAATGCTAAATCTGTGGTTCCATTGAATCCAAATGCACCCCACACTATTATTGTTCCCCCACCATTTGGCGTTTTGAAAATATTTGTTTTTTGGTTCTTAAATTGTGCCAATACTTTCAACCGTCTGGACTATCTAAGATGAATTGTTTTTCATCACTGAACAAAACTTCAATCCATTCTTTGGACTAAGTCATGTGTTTTTGTGCCCAATCAAGTTTGTCACTTTTGTGCTTTAATGAAAGTGGTGGCATTATAGCTTTTTTCTGAATTTTAACGTTGGAGATTTATTTAAAACTCTCCACACTGTTGTGTTGCTACAAGGTAAGTCTAATTCTTGTTTTATTTTTCTTACTGATGTTTGTTTTGTGGAGCAAACCTTGATGATTTGTCTTCAATCTCAAGGTATAAACTTGGGTTTTGGACCTGTCTTGAATTTTGGTACATCCTACCACGTCTTTTTGATAAATAATCACCAACAGTTGATTTTGGATGATTTATATATGCTGCAATTTCTCTTATTGACTTGCCTTGTGATTTATAGGCATCAATCTGCTCTTTTTCATAATCATATAAATTCCTTGTTCTACCAATTTTAGAACATTGAACAAAGAATTTGTATTACAATTAGATATGTAAGCTGATTTGCATATTTCAATGCTTGAAACTAAACAATATTCTATTTAAGTCATTGAATGAGTGCCTATCTAGATAAATATGTAACAGTTTTTTTGTACAAAATTTTCAAAATTATTATTTTCACTGACAAAATGTTAATGTTTGATTAAAATTCTTGTTTTGCAGTATGGAAACAAGTAAATCCATGTTATTTTTAATAAAACATTTGTCACTTAATGCAGCAAATTTGGGTTTCACTTTAATTTTTTCGTGTCCATATAAATTTGAAACACATCTTATATGGTATAATGCCTGTGCAAGAAAGTACTACTGATAAAAAATACCTCATCCATTCACTTTATTTTGTGGGTAAGTTCTGAGTATTTACTAATTTTTCAGTGTATGTACAATAATACCTCGACTTACGCAAACCCGGAGTTATGCGATTTTCAAATCTCGTCGATTCGTCTTTTGTTTGAGCGCCATGCAACTCTTGATTACTCACTCCCCCACACTATTGTTCAGCTTACATGTTCGGACGTGTCGTGCGGAATCGACACATAGCTACAATTTATTTTGTGTTATTTATTTCTGTGTTTGTTATATCTATGGAGACTTGAGAGACTCTATGTGGTGATTTCTTGTAACTGTGACCGAATCAAAAGACGAGATAAGATTAACGAGAACATTTATTAGCTTACATACATCCGACTTGGATTTTACACAAATTGCAAAATTATATCCCGACTTACGCGGTTATCGCTCGGTCCCACCTATCGCGTAAGTTCGGGGTATTACTGTATTTTCTATATTGTGGGTGTTTCATACAGTTATGCATATAATGTATGCAATTTTGTTTTGTTTGTCAATGAATGTGTGTCTGGTCTATTGTAATGGATAGTTTTGTTTGTGATTATAGCTCATTCATAGTATATTTTGTGTTGACACACATACATTCCGTTTAAAATTACTTACTTACAGTTAAAATTGTTTTACTGTTAAAATACCATTATAGTTTAACAGTAAAACAATTTTAACTGTAAATAAGTAATTTTAAACGGAATGTATGTGTGTCAGCACCACCTACAAGAAATCCTGGAAATCATGCCAACAGATGAGGGGCTTATGCCCAAAACATGTATCGGCCTATAGAATATTCCGAATAAAGATGAGCTAGAAATACCCTGTGTCTATCTATGCATCTAGTTGTGAAGATAAAAACAAATAAAAAATCATCCTTCTTCATGATTCTTTTTTATAAGGAAGTGTTCTGCATTCCTCTCCATTGAATGTTACCGGAAAAGAAATTACAAAAGAAATTTGTCATATCTATCTGCACAAACTTGGCTACAGCTTCTAACAGGTAAGAAGATATTATTATTTTTACTTATCAATTGTGACATGTAATTTGTTTTCTAACACAAAGGCAAAACCAATTCTCACAAAAACACAAATAAAAAACCAATTGAAGTGAGTCAAAGAGCACCAATTCTAGACACAACAACAGTGGAAGCAGGTTGTTTTTAGTGATGAGGCAAAGTTTGAAGTCTGCATTGGAATCTATAGAAAAAAAGTCATTAGAAAGTGAGAACATTCTATCATGACTGTCTACAGTGCACTGTAAAATTCTCAGCATTATGATGTGGAGTTGCATGTCAGCCCAAAGTATGGGAAATTTACATTTCATCGAAAGATCAGTAAATGTAGCAAAACACTGGCAAATCCTCGAGGAAAACCCATTATCACAGTTAGAAAAATTACAATATCACGGCCATTTTATTTTCCAGCAGGATGGTGCAAGTTGCATACTGCTAAAACCACCAAGCTGGCTTGCCCAACATAATATTAACACATTAAAATGGCCATTGTGCAGTCTTGACCTTTCCCTTATAGATAATATGTGGAGTAAAATTTAAAAAAAGCATTGAGAAATAGTCCTCCAGAAGTGTGGATGGTTTAAAGCAAAACAATCAAGCAAATTTGGAGCAAATAAAATTACTCCAAATGAATGCCTGGCTCTTGTTGATATGATGAATGATTGTATGAATGCTATTATACAAGCCAAAGGTGAAATAACTAAATACAGTGGTGATTGGTTAACAAACAGTTCAGAATGCAAACAAATTGGACAACGAACACTTTTCTGAAAGTTTTTATGTTCGGATAACAAACACCCCACAAAACAAACACAAGAAAAAGGGACACCGCATTTAAGATTTGTAAAACTACATTTCACTGGTATCGATGAATGGTTTATGAAACAAGACTTTCGCAGTTGTATATGTAACTTTTTTTGCACTAGTTGATTTCTGTTCTCTTAATTTTTCTAAGTGCTTTTCTGAACTTTTTCTTTTAAAAAACTGATAATATCATGGGGCCTAAAAAGAATGGAGTATCAAAAACTGTGTTCACTATAAAAACTAAGAAAGAGATAATAGCCAAGGTAGAGAGTGGGCAGAAGATGTCTGACGTTGCTAGGCAAGATGGCTTCAACAGGTCTACAGTAGGCACAATCTTAGCTAAGAAAGAGATAATCAAAAAGACTCAAGCACATAAAGAAGTAAAGAAAATCACATCCGAGAAACAAAGATGTGCCATCCATGAAAAATTGAAGGGATTGCTTTTGGTTGTTATTACATATAAATAAACACAGTACGAAATTTCATTAACTGATCACCCACTATATTAATGTACTGTCTGAGGTATTATTTGTCAGAAATGGCTCTGTCTGAACTTTTTTTTGGGGTCACACATGCTTTTTTCAACTGTTCATAACTTTTTNATTTAGGAAGTGTGTATAGGAGGATTTAGGCGGTGTGCATAGGAGGATTTAGGAGGTGTGCATAAGAGGTTTAGGAGGTGTGCAAAGAGGGATTTAGGAAGTGTGTATAGGAGGATTTAGGTGGTGTGCATAGGAGGATTTAGGGAGTGTGCAAAGGAGGACTTAAGGATGTGCAGGGGTTCAGCCGCACCCTTCACATCCCTAAATCCATCCCTAGTATATACCACTACCGGTCCCGCGAAAAATTCCCCAGCCTCCCGTCTCAATGGCCGACTATAAATCATTTTAATATTATAAACAAAAGAATGTTGGAGGATAATTTTTATACCTTGACGTCACCAAACATTTCCTGCAGATCATGACTTCCAGAACCTAATGACAGGTGATATAAAACGTCTTCCGACATTTCGGCAATGTGAGGATTCCTGAGGATAACCGATCCATTTTCCGAACTGCCAACACAAAAATTTACAAATTAAAATGTGAATATTACATCTGTGAAACGTTATAAAGTAGGGAAAAAAAACCTTTCGCCATTTCGCCCATACTTTAACCTGCAAGGCATGCTGATAAAAGGGAACGATAAGAAGAAAAATTGCTATTATTTCATACAATTATCTTTTAGATACATTGAAATAATTTAATTATAATTGCTTAGAATAATATAAATTATTCTGAAATAAAATTTCTAACAAAACATTTTTTATTAACAGCAAAAATGTAATCTTAAGTTTAACGAAAAAATTCTAAAATAGATCGAAAGCAAATAACTTCCAAATGGCAAGAAAGTAAAACTAGATTGGCCAAAAGAAAGACCAATCAGAAGATAACGAACCACAAACCGACCAATGACAGCTCTCTACCAACCCATTGCTATATTTTACAGCTTACTTTGTATATGACTTTGCCAGGGGCTATATCTCTAGCTTATTGTTCATCCTTTGACTGTCATCATTGGTAGAATATCCGTAGGGGGCATAGTAATCCTCTACCGTCTTGTATACCTACAGAAGATGGAGATTTTAACATCCCCGTCTGATGGATTTGACAAACAACAAATTTATGTTGAAATGTAGCTTGATTCTTTTCTCAAGACAACTAGTTGTAGCTTCTCCACATCCTTTTGTTGCGGCTAACAATACTAAAGGATAATGTACACATTGAAGGGGGGTTGCTCGGAAATAAAATAATAGCTCTACTTAGATGCTTACAGCTATTGTAAGAGGTTAAAAGTTTATATTCCAGTATGATTCTTTTCTGAGAAACTCATTGTTGTTTCTGGTACAACGAGGTATATACATTAAAAAAAAAGAAGAAAATCTAATTGTAAATGAAATTTAACAAACAAAACAAAACAAAAAAAATAATCGTGAATTAAAACTTGTCAAAATGTCAAGAAAATAATAAAAAATCTATTTCAAAATTTGATTATATTTTAATTATTAAATGTAATAATCAATTTTTTTTTTTAATTTCAATATATTTTATAATATAGGCCTATATCTTAATAGATTGAGGGAGAAAAAACATTATATTTTAAAAATAAATTTGAATTTTTATCGAAATAATCCATTAATTAAAAAACTTATTAATTTTTTAAAAATATATAATCATTAAAAAATAAGAAGAAATTTGAAAAATTGCCTCAAAACATACCTATCAATTTAATATTTTTTTAAATAAAACTGTTATATTAACTGGACTCTCCGGTTTAATTACTTATCTATGATTACTCTTACATAACCGATAATACCGTAAAATTACACTTAACAAAGTAATTAAACTTCTAAACAGAACGTGACGTCACAATGAAAACATTATTTTTGATCTTCATTCTACGTCAATTACTTTCAACCAATGACAGACGGCCAATTCTCAGCTTAACTCCTCCCAATAAGTGGGAGGTAACTTTTATGCTCGATCGTATTTTAGTGTTAAACGTATATTTTGAAATTTAAAGGATCAAAACCTTTATATTTTTTTTAATCAATTAAACTAAATGTAATTTTATTTAATTACTGTTTATAAGAAAACATTATTTTGATGTCATATATTTTTAATTATTATTTAATTCCGCCATCTATTGTTGACTTAAGAAATTGTGTGTGTTTTCATGATGATAATGTATTATAAATATAGGCCTATTATCGAAATATACAAGATTTATACGACACGTATTTTTTATACATACAGTATTTAAATAAATCTACAAAGAATCGTTACGCTGTTATATATATATATATCGGCTTTGTTTGCTAATTTTTATGAAGGTTCTCCACTCTGTTCTTAATAAACAGAGCAGCTAATTGTTGTGGTCTGGATTGCCATTCTTGCAGTTCTTCTTTCGATGCAATAATTTGATCACCTTTTAGTCTGTCCAATAGAGCCACACATATGACGGCAGCTGTTGTATACATTTATCATTATCATCACACATTTATTATGTGGAATTAACAAATTTTAAACTAAAAACTTTACCTGAAATTCCAGCATTTGTACACATAGCCGCGAACACTAGCGATTCCATTTCCATGTTAACTACTCCCATTCTATTTATATTTTGTAAGTATTCCAATTTCTCTTTTTCGGTGTAATTGCAGAAAGCTCCATCTAATCTTGCTTGGCCTAATTAATAGAAATTTTAGTATATTTCAAATATAATATTTCTTCTTAAATTCAAGATTTTCTCTTACCTTCATAAAAATCATCTGTACACATGGTTGTACCTAAACAACTCGGGTATTCACATAGATGACTTTTAGCTATTTTTAATAATTCTCTGGCAAGATTTACATCTAAAATAGCTTCACGCTTGACTTTCCTTCCTAGTACTATCTATTAAACTCAAATTAATAGTAAAAATTATAAATATGATCAATGTAAAAGACAAACAAACAACTTACTGCCTCTTGATAAGGCCGCATCAATCCATCTACAACAGAGCTTGTGATTATTAAACTTCCTTCTTTCACACCTATATTAAATTTTGAACATTTTAAAGAGAAATAATAATAATAATTTCAATGTTATAATTATTTAAAACACTAACCAATACCGCCGCAAGTTCCTAATCGCAAAATTGTAACATCTCGACAAGCCGAATAGTGTAAAAGTTTTATAAGTTCGTGGAGCATGATGGAGATGGATGGAGTTCCCATTCCGTGCTAAAAAAAAACATGAAATATATATAACACAGAGCCTATGTAATTTCGTATATAACTCTTCGTAACATTTATGTATTACAAGTACTCACACTAACGCACAGAACGGGGCCTACTTTGTACATAGAAAATCTGTACGAGCTCCCACTAATATCGTAAAGAGCTGTTCCTGGAGGTAATTTGTAATTTAGTTCGCATGTCATATATTGGGCGAAATCCGCCATTCGTTTTGTAGTTCCTCCAACACATACAAACTAAATAATAATTAATCACAAAAAACAATTTGCATGCAGTGTACAATCTACTAAACA